TCTGTTTGGTGTCTCAGCTTAGTAAACACAACAGGAAAGCAGGAAATAAACAAGGAAACCCATCAGAATGTCTTCTCCACAGCTCTGACAGCGCATGCAAATACACACACACATATGCACACATACAGCCCATTACACATGCCAGTACGCTCCAGTGCACACCTTCAGCAAACAACTCGCCACGTGAGCGAAAAATACAAATAAGCCCTTTTCGCTGGTTAAGCTCAGATACGGGCCATGGGTTTCTTTAAAAAGAGTGGGGGAGAATAAGCAAAGGGGAAATAAATGAATACTGATCATTACATGAGCTGTGATCTAACAGGTAAATTAGGGGTGTAGCGATTCTCCAAATCCATGATTTTTGAGCTAGTTCACACCTCAGATTTTTTTTGTTTTGTTGTTTTTTTGGGGTGGGGGTAAATAAGATAAAATGGGGGGAAAAAATCTTTTTTTTGGCGAACACATGCCAAATTTTATTATTTTGTTTTTTTTAATCAAAAGTTTTATTAAATCACTAACAATTTGGAACACTAAAGAGAAGCACAAAAAAAGAACATGGTATACAGGCCTAACTTTAAATAGAATAATAATTTTGTGATTTACATGTTATAGTGTTGATGAAAAATGAATTTTGTAACATAATGAGAGCTCAACAGGCTGCACCAATAGAGAATGATAAATAAAAGTACAGGAGACTAGACAAAATGGGACACCTAACAACCATGCCTGGTAAGACCATAAGACCTGGAAGACCCCCAAAACTGTCACCTTTAAATAAACAGAACTTTCCTCTTTAAGAGAGAGAAGAAAATCACAGGTGTTTCCATCCATCCTTCCATTGTGAGGAGACAACACTGTGAGTCTGAAAGGATGTGTAGCTGTCAAGAAGCTCTTACTGCGAAAAGCAAAAAGAAGAAAATTTGAGAAAAGAAGCTGCTGGTGTTCTCAAAACAATGGATTGACCACCCGAGAGTCTAGAGCTTAGCATCATTGAATGTATTTGGGATTACTTGGATTGCGAGATGCAGAAAATGCAACCAACTTCTAAGACTGAGCTTTGGAGATGTGGAGAAATATCCTTTGACAAACTGAAAGCAAGTCTCCTGAAAAGACTGGAAGCTGTGATAAAGGTGAAGTGCGGGCACACTTATATACTGAATATGTGATATTATGTGTGGTTGTTGAGGCTGCTGTGTAATTTTCTGTTAAATGTTTTCTGCTTTTTCTGATGCTGAAACATGATTAACTTGTATTTAATGGATGTTTTGTCTGAAAATGAATAAATGAATGTTGAACTCTGCTTTTGCACAGACCTGTAGCGGTGGCCAGGGCACACCACACCCCTGACTTTATAATCACTTTGTTTCTCTGCAAAAGTGCTATGAAGTAAAACTTTACAAGTCAATAAAAGCTGAGAAACGTGTGAAAAAGATAAGTTAATGATCAAGTGCTGTGACGAAGAAGGGTTTACTGCAGATCCAAGTCCTCGCTCGCCCAGCGATAAAATCACTCATATAATGACTCACTGAACATTAGGCTTTAGAAGCGATTAGCCAGACGTAGCTGACAACCACCATATCTTAGCACATGCCTTAGCAGTCGTTTATCAATTCTGCAGGTGAACTAAAAGAACGTCTGGAGCTTTGCAAAGCCTTAACTAACAGAACGGAGTCTGAAATGTGCTGTGTTAAAAGGACACATCTGTTAGTTGAGGTTTTGTAACAGTATGAACGTCGCCTTTCCAAGGCGTCACCCCAAGTTCAACCCTGCAGAGAAAACATGGCAAATGCGGTTCAAACATCAGCGCACAAATCACGCAAGCAGAAATGTGAGAGGGGATAGTAAACTGCTTTTAAAACCATTACAGTGTAACCGAGGCTAAGCCGTGCCAAAATCATCTCTGGCAACGTCGAAAGGACAGAGAAGAATGGCTCAATGCTACATTTAGCTTGAAACGCGTGCGTTTCCCTTTAAACAAACAGGATCATTTCGGCCGACGCAATGAATGAGAAACAGCTTCGGCCTTAGAGCTCAGTGGAGGCACTCTGTGGGGTGACTAGAAATACTCAGTTCTTTTCTTTTCTCTCTCTTTCTTGCTCATTCAAAGAAAAAGAGAGAGGAGAAAAGCAGTTTTGGCTTCACCCTCCCTTTTTTTTTTTTTTATCCCTTCCAAGAAGAAACCATGAGCGAGACAACCAGTCTTTCCACAGAAAATGCCGTGCCTCTAAATCTAATAGAAGTGCTGGCTTTCCAGCAGCACCCAAAATAACACGGCTGCCCGGTACCTCCGGGGCGGGTAAAAAATCTATCCTAAATCTGTCTGTTATCCAGTCAGTGATCAAACCAACAACACTGAGCTGAGATCATGTTGCGGAGAGACTCAAGGTAACTAGGCATTAACGTTGCGCACCTATGCCAGGCCTGTGGAGTCAGGCAGTGAGCTCCAAGCCACCAGAACCTTATTCAGCAATCCCAGCAGGCCACATGGCTCCCATCATCTCCACTAATGGACCGGCCAAGGAACTCTGTCTCCGAAATGCCACGTTCCCTTCTGAAGGCTTCTCTTCCAAAACCCAGTGTCACCATCCTGGAGGCCAACTATGTGGCTTTCCTTGCATCTCCATCATGTCAGAAGCTATTTTCTTTGTGTACCCTTTCAAAAAAGCCAGAAAATGCAGCGCACATCTCTGCCAGACAGAAGAATCCTGGTCAAAGCAGTATGCTAATCGCTAATTTGGGTAAAGCCTGGAGGAACCACTACTGATTCTTTCACATGGAATGAATAATAGCAGTTTGTGGGGGAACAAACTATTTCACTGGCTTTGCTTGGTTTCTCCAAACTCAGCAAGTCAGCACTGTGCAAGTCTTTTGGCGCTTTTTAGGGCCTTTTTTCGGATGGTGGTTCACACAAAGGCATTCTGCTGGTTGTTCTCCAGGAATCTCCACACCTGCACAGGTCTGCAGAGCACTACCTGAGGCCCATCTGTGTCCTGCTATTGTGCTGCTGTCGGATAGATGAAGGAGATGCTTTGAATTCTCCTACAATGGAGGAAGCGAAAACAGCCACGGAGATGCTGGAGAACTCTAGAGAGGTCCACCTGAAAACAATCTGTTTTGGTAAACCAGCAGGCTCTTTAGAAGGGAAGGTATGCGGGGCTTCGAGCCATTATGAGGCCATTCAAAACGCTCGTCTCTGTAATCTGGAGGACCGATAAGCACCAGGACACACACACACACACAGAGCTCATCCTACAGATCCTGCTGGTCTCTGCAGGTGCCCCTGAAACGTGTTGAGCTTTTCCTCAACACGTTAATGCACTCGCTGTGCTGAAATCAGACATTGCCTCCATGCAGTGCAGTACCTCATTAAGGCATTTTCACACGACCAGATGAGACCAGAGTGGAGCACAGCTTCCCTTGTGGCTTGTGTTTGTGTGTGTATGCTTGCATTCTAGCCATGGTGTCCCACTGTCCTACTGTACACAGCAATTCATTATCAACACTGCATTGCTGTTGTTAACCTGCTTCAAAACAAGCCTCCTCAGCTCCGCACAGAGGCCTAACTGGCACAGAGGTATCACTGGCTTTTCATGCCCCTTGTCTGAGCTTTAACTGAAACTGAACAACCAGGAATCCAGCACCAATTAAACGAAACGTTTACATGTACAGTTCAGCATTTTTGAACCAAAGCAGGACAGTTATAAATAAATACAGCGTCAACACTGTTCATCTTCTGCTTGGTTTAACACCCGGATTTATAATGACACAAAGGTGTGACTCATAAAGACAGAGGTGTGACTTCTGGGAGTTATCAAGTGACACGACAAGTAGGTTTTGGTATCAACACACATATGGCAAACACAGACACTGATTCATGTAATGTGAAGGTGGAACAAATGAAATAGGGACAGAATACAATATCACTGTCAGAACAAAATCTCAAAAATATTAAGCTTAAAGGTGAAGGAAAAAACTTTTACATTTATAATGGAAGTTCACGTAACAAGATTTTTTCAAGTATATATATATGAAATAATGTTCCATTAAAAACATAAACGTTTACTGATTTTTATGTATGGGATGTAACAGTACAACATAGTCATTGTATCATGACTAGCATGTCATATCTATATATATATATATATATATATATATATATATATATATATATATACTTTACTTATATATATATATATATATATATATATATATATATATATATATATATACTTTACTTTTCCATTAAAAACATAAACGTTTACTGATTTTTATGTATGGGATGTAACAGTACAACATAGTCATTGTATCATGACTAGCATGTCATATATATATATATATATATATACACTTTACTTTTAATGTAAATGTAACCATACGTCTTTTCAAGTAATTCTGGGTCATTTCTTTTGGTCCATTCATCATAAAACATTAACAATGTAAGGGGGAGCAGACATTTTCAAACTATGCCAAAAACTGAAAAACGACAAAAATGGAGATATGAGCTTCTGTTCTGACAGCACCAATTTATATAATTTTATCATTTAAATTTTAAATAATTTTAATTTTCTTTGTATTGGTGGACTTTTATTCATTGATGTACAGCCATAAGACCACTCCTCTTGGTATCACTCATCAATAAAGTCACGTTACATTTACATAGGATAATCCCAGTATGTGAGAGATTACTGAAGCTTTCATATTTAAAATGAGGTAACTGACTGACCGGTAATGACTGGCTGGGTTCCTGATAAGACCATTTAAAGGCATTATTCAAGCACACAGCTTCCCGACCAAGTGTCCATGAACTGTAGTAACACCTTTGCAGTGTAAATGTATTAACACCTTTCTTCAGCCTAACTGTTGGATTTATCCCTCTTCTAAACGTCTCTGTATGCTGAGGGTCAGTCTGTCCACTTTTTTACACGCAGATACCTGTCACATCATTCACAAGCGCTCACATCACAGTAAAACAAGTGAAGACAGGAGTGAAGTCCGTTTACCTGCACTTGTGTGGAGTAATCCGAGTAAAAGGAAAAATAACATTCCCATTGAGTGTGGCATCATTTCCACTTTCCTGGAGGTGGTTTTAGAACTCCTCGAAACGCGTGCAGTCCTGCTGGAAATGTGGCATAATCTCACTATCCACACCAAACGGTACTTTTCTTGTCTTCGATTTTCTGCTAACTGATCTGCTTTAAGTTCCGGAGCGGTTGGAGAAACGTAGAGCGGCTCTCATGATGCTCTGTGGGGGGAAAAAAGTTTCTGGAAGTGACCAAATATTCGCCGGAGCTTTGGTCAGCTGCTCCGCTCTCCTGATTTGTCCGGGAAAAATGGTTTTGTCCCTCAGAAGCGCAGGCTGCGGGGCTCCATTCCGGGGTTCATCGCTTTTAGCGCAAAGTCCAGCCGCCTCGACGCAGTTTGGTACCGGATCCCGATGCAGGACGAGCTGAAAGTCCCACAGAAAACTCCGCCCGGCCGAGTCCACAGCGCGCGCGCGTGCGTGTGTGTGCGCGCGCGTGTGTGTGTGGGTCTGCTGCTGCGAGACCAAACGATAGCGTGTAAGTTAGCGGAGGAACAGAAACCGCTACAGCGGCTCACTGACTGTGGAACAGAAAGACTCCACGTGCAGCATCGCTAAATTGTGGAGGCTGTGTGTGAGTGAGAGTGTATGTGTGTGAGTGAGAGTGTATGTGTGTGTTTGTGTGTTTCTGAGCGACCCTTCACTTCGTTTTCATTCAAATCCCCCCAGCAGCACTCAGGCTTTTACTACTGCTCACTATCTTAGCCTCTAGGAGCGCGCGCACGCGCGTGTGCGGGTAGCCGGCAATGTGTGTGAGAGAGGGAGAGAGAAAAGAGCGAGAGACAGAGAAAAGGAGAGAGAAAGGTGACATTGAATAGAAAGAGGAAAGGAAGAAAAAGGAAAAGAGAGATGGATACGGAAAGAAGAAAATAGAAGTGGAAGAAAGAAAGGGGAAAAGAAAATGAGTGAAAGAAAGAAAGAAAGAAAGAAAGAAAGAAAGAAAGAAAGAAAGAATCTGCAACTGATATGCTACTACAGCTGTTAAAAGAAATGTAGAAAGAAAGAAGAAAATGAAGAAACTGCAATTGACAGGCTTTTGCAACGGCTAAAGGACATGTAGGTAGAATCAAAGAAAGAAACCCAGACTGCACTGCAGCTGATATTATTTCATTACTGAAAGTGACGTTCTGACAGCGGCGCAGCGCTTTATTACTATTTAATCCACTTTTACACTGACAGAAAATTATTAATAAGTGAAATTAATAAACACTGATGTTCATAACCCCACACTGAAGACAGATTTATTCCTGAGCTATATATTATCTTTTTTTGGGGTCATTTAGTTTCCTATAGGCCAAATGTCCTTTGACGTAAAGCACCCAGTAATATATATGTCACATAAAGGCTGCACACTGGGGTTATAAAGAAAAGAAAAGCCTCATTCAGTTTAGGAGACGGCCGAGAGAAGTAAACCTTTAACCTCACTGAGAAAAGAAAAATCTCACAGTGGAACAATGGCCTTGAATGTCTGCAGTCATCCAGGTTATTGAACTGTCTAGCTGTTGTAAGTGAAGGTGATTGTATTTGTGGTGTAATCTAGAAATTACACCACATGTCCAGCTGCATTGACCTACTACTACTGGACAATGGGACAGGCAGTGAGGTGCACTGGGCCAAACCATTTCTAACTGCGTAGCACCCACCTCAAATACCTTACAGAGTGACTGCCTTCAGTTTGATGCGTTAAATGCAGTGAAATAGGCATCATGCAGAGCAGTATTTCCAATGTTTAGCTTATGTGACATTTGTGAAAATAGTTGTTTTGTTTTTGCATATTTTAACACACATTCCAATACACATATTTTATCAACATTATAAAGTACGCTGACTACATTTTTACTAAACATTCTAAGACAGATGAACGGACATGCCTACAGCTTCCCTCATTTCTTCTCCACTGGGTCAGACAGGCTGTAGTTTGGGAGGCACCTAAAAGCTTTTTTATCCAGCACAGACAGGGTTGAGTGTGCCCTCTGCTGGCCCATGCACAACATTACTGCCTTTTTGTTCTGGCTCTGGGGGGCTACAAACATGCTTGTTAGGCCTACCAACATTTTCCCACCGAAACCCTTTCCTTTTTTACACGATCTGGCATTGTGTGATTAAATGTTTATTGTTAAATACAGCATAGCTGATGGTGAAACATCTCAAACATGTGGCCTAATTCACACTTAATCCAGCTTTACAACCTGGACGCCCTATTACTGCGGTGTTTTTTCCACAAACTGCGTGTTTGCCGAAAATGTGCACGCCACGCTTACTGTAAACTCAGCTCGTGTTGGCCGAGAAAAAACTGTTCTCCAAGCCAAAGGTTACTAACAACTGTTTAATCTGCTCTTTTATATCTCTCTGCAAAAGCACTTTAGTGCAGGGGAAAATCTTTCTCAAAGCTTGTGTTTATGGGGCCTGTTGGCACGAGCTGCTGAACACAGGATTTTTACTGATGCTAAACTCTCCCAGCATGACATACAATATCCTGCACATCCGAGAGAGAGGAGCGAGACCGCTCCACTGAAGAAAGCAATGTTTCTCTACTTCTTTCAGTGCTTTTGAAAAAGAAACAGAGGGTAATTCGGCCCATCGCCAACTTCTGCCAACTCTGCAGGCCTCTCCCCGCTTCTTGGACAGTGTAATGTTCTCCTGCCGAGAGTGAAAGAGCATAGCTGCATTCCCCGCTCCCGCCTCAAATCCTTTAATTGCCCTGTATGAGTGCTACTAGCCGCCCCGGCCCAGCACTCACGCACAAAACCGAACCAGGCCTGGAAGCGACGCAGCTCAGCACGAGCCATAAACAAACAGCACAAACACGGCCAGTCGCAAAAACCTCTCGTCAGCACATTCCATGATCCCCTGCCTTCTGCCTTCCCTCCAGCTTCATCTCTTCATCTCTTTCACATCAAGCCTCTTCAGCTCTTAGAACAGCTGCTGGAAATGGGGGCAGGACAGTTAAAGGTATTAATTTGGTGAAATAGGTGAAAAAGGTATTAGTTTGGTGAATTTACACATTTCTACTCCGAAGTAGTCAATGAGCCAAGACATGACCAGTCCATGAAATTTGCTACTTTAGTTGCACTGGAGCTATGAGGCTAATGTAGCTAGCAATAATTGGAAGATTATACTTCACTCATTACCATCACTCACACATAAATCATCACACATTTGCCTCATATGGTCAGGCTCACTGTGCAACACAATTCTTTCCATATTTATGGATGAATTTACATGTCAAACATGTGGTGTTGATTTAACACGTAAAGCTGCACTATGTAAGACTGAGGGATTTGGAGACCTCTCTGGTGGAAGCATATAATTACACACAATGTTTTTGTAACGTGCTTTGAACCCCTTCCTGAAACGGATTAATCTGATGATTGCGAGTGTGTTGAAAGTGTATTAAAGAGAACTCAGTCAAAACTTTCTGAGAACGTGTCTTCCTAAATCTAACTGAATTATCTTCTATTGCCATCATCATTATAATGTTGATTTTGTATTTAAGAGCTGGACCTTCTTTCTAAGCCTATATGTGTGATGTTAAGATGTATGATGTGGTCTGAAAAACTCCAATAACTTTTTTCAGTCTTTGTAGGTTACACCATATTTTAGCAAGTCTTTCTCCTCCTCAATCAGCAATGCCAATTCTTTCAATTTAAACAAAAAATCTTACATAATGCAGCTTCAAGTGATGTCAAACTTGCTTATGTAGTAGCTGACACATGAGGGGGCGGTCAGACAATGGCTTTTCAAACTCTCTTAAGCACATTTTTTTTATTGTTGTCTATGAAGCAGTGTGTTCCATGACTGAAAAGCACTCCTCCAGCTTCCACAATGCGCTTCACATTTTTAAAATGCACATTTAAGTTTGTGCTGAGAACCCACACAAGAGCACCACATGTCATCTACAGCTGGACAATCAATATCAATTATGCCTAATCTCTTGTCACTAACCCAAAATGAAGGAAAAATGGGTTTTGGCTGTTTTCAAACACCTGCAGCTGTAAATCAATCTACAAAAAGATGACCACAATATGAATGTGAAAAAGAGTTTTCTAATTATTATTGATATATTTGTCAGTGTTGAAATCTTTATTGATCATCTTGGTCCTTTGTGTTCTCTAAAAACGCTGTATGTTCACATACTTGTCAATCAACTAATATTCTACAACCCTTAAGGAAGTGCACTGCGCTTCTTTCTAAGCACAAGATGCTGTGCGCCTTGTATTAATAAGCTGTCATCTGAACGCCAACTAATCAGGATATGACTTGTGGCCTTGTCTTGACGGGGATCCCCTGATGAAAGTCTGACTATGAGGTGACCTATGTATTTATGCATACTATTTTCACCATATATTTTGTGAGGTTTTGCCCTGTAGTTTTTTTCACAGATATTACTAGGCATGAGTCTTTTAACTTCATATCTGTATCAATGTAAATGATTTTTACATTCCAGGCCACAGCACACTGGAATTGCTGCATTAAGCAGCACCCAAAAATTTTGAAAACCATGCCTCCCGGCACTATTCAATTTTCACACTACGTATTATTTTGCTATTACCATGTTAAATCAAACCCTGACCACAGAAAGCGATAGTAGGACACGTGGCTTGAAGCCACAGTAGTTTACATGTGGCTTGAAATTTACACCCAAACAGTAAAGTCTTTTACATAAACAGCGAAATGCTCTGTTACCTCTCCAATGTTGTAGCCTAGTGTTTTTCACCTTTCAACATGAAAGCAGCCAACTTGTGAAGAGTTTGTTAGCTGATATCAAATGTGATAAATTCATAGATTAAGTTTTATTCTATTAAATTAATACAAAAAGAGTGTAAAAATAGCTCTAATAGCCGATCACTTTCTCTGTTAATTAACTAAAATATATCATCACTGTTGGAACAAAACCTCATTTGTCCAAAACGGTAACATGAGAATTTGTAATGGAAGTTAATGTAAAATATTTTTCTTCCAAATAATTTTAGACTACTTCACTTCCATTCATAACTGGAGTTTTCAAACTATGCAAAAAAGCGAAACACAAATGGAGATACAGGGTTTTTGTGCGACAGCGATGATATATTACTGATGTAGTAAAAAAACTGATTCAGTTCTCAACTGGCAGGTTTTGGTGCATGGGGTTTTGGGGGCAGTCGTGGGCTGGAGGCTAGGGAACCAGCCTTGTGACTGGAAGGTCGCCGGTTCGAGCCCCTCAGCTGACAGTACGTGACTGAAGTGCCCTTGAGCAAGGCACCTAACCCCCAACTGCTCCCTGGGTGCTGCGGATAGGACAGCCCACCGCTCCGGGCAAGTGTGCTCACTTGCCCCTTAGTGTGTGTGTTCACTAGTGTGTATGTGGTGTTTCACTGCATGGATGGGTTAAAATCGGAGGTCTAATTCCGATGTGTTCAGACACAGTTGGCTAAAAAGGTTCATTCATTCATTGGTGGGTTTCTATGCTCATTGTCTATTTTATCAGCTACACTTACTATATAGGAGCACTTCTACAATTACAGACAATAGAGTGGACAGTGAATGGACACAGTTTTTTAAAAACTCAAACAGTACTGCTGTGTCTGAGAATGATCCACCACCCATATAATACTTGCTCTGTGGTGGTCCTGTAGGCGTCCTGACTTCAGACACCAAATATATTTTGGCTGATCA